GGAAGGAACCAGGAGCAATCCCTGGGGACCATTCAACCAAACACTTCCCAGGCGTCTCTGCTGTGGCATAAGGTGCATCCTACCAGGGAGATAACTCAGGCAAGAGAGGGGACAAAAAAGAGAGGGATGTGAAGGGGTGACTAAGCAGGGGACAATTCATTCTGCTTGGGGAGGAGCCATTTACAACATGGACACACAGCTCAGGTGACTGTTCTTGCTCCCACTAAGTGAGGGTGCCTGGGAGATTGTGGGGGAGACTCGGAAAAGACCAGAGCAAGATAACCATGCTCCCCACCCCTCTCCCCTGCAGGGCGGGAGAGGGGAAATGGCAGCCCCTCGCTGCCTTCCGAGCCCAGGCTGGCTGGAAAGGAATGCCATGTTTTCCTGTTTCCAATTAACGTCCCCCACCAGCAGCCCTCTGCATTCTTGAGACCAGGAGTCAGGCAGCCTGGGGGGGGAGCTGGAGGGGAACCCTGGTGGTGGGACCTGGGGCCAAAAGGAGGCCCACAGGAACCTGGGGAAGCACTCACACCCCAGGACCTCCCCCATCATAGGCATCTAGGCAGCTGACCCCCTGGCCCTTCCACTGCCTGGGGCAGACCCCACACGCTGAGGGAAGGTTGGAGGCGGCCCTGGAGGCCTCTGGGGAGGAAGTCAGCAGGGAAGGGGCTGGCACAGGACTGCCCTTCCTGGGCCTTACTAAGGCTTCTCCCACCTGCCCCCCAAAAGATCAGTTCTGACTGTCAGTGAAGGCTCAACCTTGAAAGATCTGTGTGTTCCCTAAAGCCCCCTCTCTTCCCCCACCCCCAAGAACTATTATTCCTTACGCCTGTCATCTCGCCACAGGAGATGTCTGCACATCAAGGGGAGCAGAGGACCCCTCAAAACCCGAGACCAGACCCTGTGAGGCACCATCTCCCCAGCTCTGTTGACAACATGGACCACCACCACAACCACCACCCCGGCACCACCAGCCCCTGCAATCTGGATTGGCACATGCTCCCCCTGGCCTCAGTTTCCTCATCTGTAAAATGGCGAGATCACCTGTATCACCTCCTTTGCAGGGTGAGCTGGGCCCTTGCCAGCCCCTCTCCTTCAGCCCCCACCCCCCCACAGCAAAACGTTGCTTCAGCACCAGTGAGTGCTGAACAGGTAGCAGTACTGTCCCCAGGATCCTCAAAGGGGAAGTGTCACTCGAGTGGAATTATTTGTTTATAGTCTGCCTTCCCCCAACACTGGGAATTCTTCTGGGGCAGAGAACTTCTGCCGCTCACCTTTACATAGAAATGCTCACCCGACATTCCTCCCCCATGCCTACAGGGCTCATCCATATCCTGACCAAGGGTTCGGAATGACACCCGTTTGGATAATACTTTCACTCACCTCCAGGTCACTTACAGAAACTATAATTATCCCCATTTGTAGATGAAGAAACTGAGGACTAGAGCTAAATGACCTGCCTAAGGTTACAGACCGGATCGAGCCAAGGGGAGGAACAAGAAAGTTCTCTGCCAGCTGCATCAGAGCCACGGAGGGTCACAAAAAGACAGCAGGTCACAGGGCAGAGGAACAACAACGACAATTCCGAACAGTTAGTTTCTCTTCCAGCAGGGCTGAGTAGCAACAAATGGGGCCAAGTGAGGCTGGCTCAGGTGTAGAAGTGGGGAGGATAACAGTGGGGCCAGTTCCCAGGGGCCACTCAGGCAGGCCTGGGGCACCCCTCCCGACTCGCATGCCTCCAACTCTCAGCTCCGGCCACAGCCAAAATGACCCTGCCCTCAGCCCAGCTCCTGGGCGCTCCTTACCCCCTCCCAACACCAGCTCTCAGGGAAAAAATATCTGGCAGCTCCTTCCAGGTAATATCTATATTTGAGACCCAGGTCAATTGAAGGCAAAGGGACAAAGTGCCAAAAGAGGGGACCAGGCCGGGCGCGGTGGCTCAC